TTTTGTTGTATTTGTATAAATGTTCATAAAGATTGGGGCAGTGGTGGCTTGGCGCGTAGGGCAGGTTTCAGGTTCGAGTCCACCAGCTGCAAAGTTAAAACTGAGATGCTCTGAGCATGTTACCATCCCTACACCGTGCTCTTCGGGCGCTTAATGCTGCCCCCTGCTGACTTTAGTGATGTGTTAAAATATAGATGTCACATATGGTGAGAAAATCTGTATTGTTTTAATCAGAAGAAGGACAGTTTACCTGATGGTTGATTCTGCCCAGACTCTTCTGAGCTTCCTGACCATCTGACAGCAGAGTGGACAGTCTGCATGCACACACACACAAGTCACAAACATTCGCGACTCAAGTCAATAGACATTATTCGTAAACTCCTGGGAGACATGAGGCGAGACGACCCCCCCCCCAAAAAAATAAAAAAATCTTGAGGGTCGCGACCCAGTCTTTGGGAAACAATGATCTAACCTGGCAGTAGCCGACTGTAACTTTGTGCCCAGGTGTTGAAGCTCCTCCTCTCTGCTCCTCAGCTCTTCCTGAACCTCCTTCAGGTTTTGCGCCTCCTCTGCCCCCCTCCTCCTCAGATCCTCCACCTCCGTCTGCAGCTCTCTGAATTGATCAATCAATAACGCGAGACGTTTAACATTTACTCTAATCAGCCGGACGAAGAAGCTAATACCATGTCGGCGTCAGTTCGACCTGAACGGCTGTGTGACTTCCTGTAGACAAGCGGCAACTTCCTGAGCTCTGCGTTGCCACTCGTCCGCCTCCCACTGAGCTGCACTGGCCTGGGGCGGGGGAAGGAGATTTGGGTGGGGGGCAAAGAGGTAAGAGCAGAATGAATGTGTATGAATGTGTGTACAACGGGTGTAAAAAACACACAAAAAAAAAAACAACTCACAAAAAGTATAATTACTGAAATATGATAATCTTCTAGTCTAAATGACCTCAAAATTGACTGAAAATTTGGCCTATTTAGTTGAAGACAACGCTGATGTACTGGCAGGAATTAAAGAAAGACACAATGATCTTCAACAGCTCTGTTTATCTTTTTTTTTTTATTATTCTCATGGCCATTTGCTGCCACCTAGTGAAAGGGCATTTAATTATTCTGCATGTTATTGTCATTGACAAGTTTAGTTGAAGACAATGCTGATATACTGGCAGGAATTGAAGAAAGACACAATGATCTTCAACAGCTCTGACTATCTTTTTTTTTTTTTCAATTTTCATGGCCATTTGCTGCCACCTAGTGAAAGGACATTTAATTATTCTACATGTCATTGTCATGAACAATTATTCGCAAGATTTGAATGTGATTTTTTTTTTCAGGCCAATTAAGTGAAATTGGATAATTTTTCGCGGCACACCTAATGATATCTCACGGCACACTAGCGCGCCATGGCACAGTGGTTGGGAATCACTGGCCTATAGTATCGCAGTACATCGCACTATATCGTAATATAGTATTGTATCGTAGTCCACTACCTTATGCCTGGTGGTGTGTACGCTGCTGTGAGCCTCCAGCAGCAGCCGGTCAGCCTGACGGAGTTCGGCTCGTCTCTTCAGGAGAGTTTTCTCCACACACTCCACCTCTTCGCACACTTGCAACACACTCCTACACAAACACACACAAACTCAGGCCGTGTGGTCAGGTATCGGGCCGCGACGACGCCAACAGTGCGCACGTGTTACCGGTGTTGTCTCAGCGTGCGTCGAATCTCTTTGGTTTCCAGACGTAGTTTCGTCCCCTCTTTTTGCAGCTTCTCCGCTTCCGTGTGCACGCACTCACACACAGGCTCCGCCCCCTGAGGAAAACACACGCACAATTCAAGAGGAACGTTTTTTTTTCGTCCATGATCTTCAATTGGAAAGATTATTATTATTATTATTTTAATTCAGGAGTTCTCAACCAGGGGGTCACTGCACTTTAAGAGGTCCATGGGACCACAGTTAGGGGGTCCCTAAAATGATGCGCTAATATTATTAAGTACATTAGCATAGGATAGCGGCCATTACTTTAACCCAGGTCTGATATGTTTTTGACATTTAACGACAATGGTTGGCTGTACTCAGGTCAGATCAGTATGCTAGCTAGCAACCGTGGAGATTTTTGAGTAAGTCTACGCCGGCTGAGAACAAATCAGCTAAGTTTTCTTAAAAAAACAATATTGACTGCTATAGTGTAGGTAAGTTTGTTTTTTACAAAAAGTGAAGATAGAATGAAAGTACTGTGATTTCAATAGTACAATTGTTAGTAATTTTACATTTAATCTACACTTCATTTATGAAGTTTTTTTTTTATCCCCCGTTCCTGGTTCCAAATGGTTGACAACTCCCGATCTCAGTGACCTCAGTGGCCCGATATTAGCATATTAGGAAATATCTGTAAGAATCGTAATCGGTTTCTCCTCCGATAATCAAAACTCGATAACACAGGCTCTGCTTGGGTTTCGTGAAATGATGTGTGACCTAAAAACAGTTTTGGGGAAAAACGGGTGTATATTCAAGTGAAAGTCACTAGATGGCAGCATTGCATCTCATCTTTTAATAATCTCATACTCATACAGTGGTTTGTACAGATAAATAAATAAATATTACCAAGGCCTATATTGATATCGGTTGATATCGGAATTGGGAAATTAAATTTTTGGACAATATTGGATATTGGCAAAAAATTAATATCGTACGTCCTTACACATTCAATTATAAATAATCAAGTGACATAACCATGTTTTTGGGCCATACACACTGACCGTGTCCCTGTGTCCAATCACATTGCAGTGCAGAGTCGAACATCCCGCCGCAGAGCTGTCAATCATCCCCGCAGGCGAACCACAGAGGAGCCAGGCGGGGGCAACGAGAGGGGCGTGACGGAGAGAACAGCCAGGACAGGGAGGAGCAGCAGAAGGAGTTCCTGCTGGGCAGCTCTGGTCTGCCTCACTGTCTCCTCCTCCGCTGTCCCTCCATTTTGATGTTGCTGCTGCTGGAGAGAAGTTCAAAGGTCAAACATGTATCACATGTCTGATCTGGGTTCAGCTTGTGTGTGTGTGTGTGTGTGTATGTGTGTGTGTGTGGAGACCTTGGTCTTTGTCCATGTGAGACGGGGTAATGTAAACCCAGTAGCCACCACCGGAGGGCGGTCTACACTGCTGTTGGCCCTCGTCAGGAGAACTACGGTACTGCAGTCCGACCCCAGAATCCTGTGTTCCCTGTGAAGTGAGACTGTGAACCTGAAAAAAAAAAAAAAAACACAGTAATACTAGTAGTACTATTAATAGTAGTAGTAATAATATGCAGTTATAAAATAACAGCAATAATATGATGTAACACGTATATCTATATGTATATTTATATTTCTCAATACTTTCAAGCATACTTTTAGGAGAGACTATAGTTATAAAGGGTTCAAACTGTTGGTTCGCGTGAGACAACGTGGTGCAATTTTAGCATTTTGATGGACCACGGTTGGAAGGACAGAACCTCATAGAACATTTTGCCACCTAGTGGCCAACTGGCAAATGTCATGTGTCATTGTGCATGTGTGTGTGTGAGTAAATAGAAAGAAGAGAATCTGACGTTGTGTCCCGGAGGTACATAGAACCATCCGTCTTCTCCTGCGTCCGTCCTCATCTCGGACTCGTCGCAGGTCCTTGATCTGTTCTTCTTCTTCGTCTTGCCGTGGTCCAGCTGCTGCTGTAATCTGTGGGTGAGTTTCTGAGCCTCATCCATCTCCACCCTCAGCTGCTGGGCTCGGTGCACGCGTCCACCCCGGTGGGAGTTCTGGACGTCGTCGTCCTCAGCTGTCTGACAAACACGAACGTACAGGAAGAGGTATACAGTACGCACGGTCAGACTGGGATTTTTCAACTGGACCAACTGAACCAACTGGACAATTGGACCAACTGAACCAACTGGACCAACTAAAGCAACTGGACCAACTAGACCAACCGAACCAACTAAAGCAACTGGACCAACTGAACCAACTAAAGCAACTGGACCAACT